ATAATGTATTTTTTTTTTAATTAATAAAATAAACAAAAGGTTCTTACTTTTCTCTCAGCGGTCACCCACCATTCCGCTTGGACAGCAAAATAATTCCGCTGGTGAAAGACGGAGAGACGGAGCCCTCCCGGAGTTGAGTATCTCTCTCTCTCTCTCTCTCTCTCTCTCTCGTTACCAAGTTGAAACACCAGCACAGAATATGGGATAAGAAAGTAAAAGAGAAACAAAAGGGAGGAAAAGGAGAGAAGAAGCAAAGAGACGCCCACGCGATCGCGCCGCGCAGCCGAGAGCGACTCGCCGACTGCGAGTGCGACTGAGTGACTGACTGACCGACTCCTCCGGCCGCTCCGGCGTGTACCGTCACCTTACTTGCACTCGACGCATACACACGTATACCATGCGGCCTGGCATCCACGAGCGCTCCCCGCCCTTGCCTCCGCAGGCCTTTCGTTTCCAGTTCCATTCCAGAGCCCGACCCAACGTGGCCCCCAACGTGCCTTTTGTTGCATCTCGTCCGCTCCGCTCCGCTCCGCCATTCCAGCGTTCCGCCGCTCTTCCGACCGGTTCAACGGCGTTATTTCTCCCTGCGTCGTTTTGGACCGCTCTACATACGAGGCGGAGATCTGCCGAGTGCAATTAGCCCGTAGAATCAATTTCCGCCAGACTCGACGCCAAGCTTAGTTAAACAAGCTTTCTTTCTCCGTTAATTAAAAAAAAAAAAAAAAAAAGAAAGAAAAAAAAGGAAGAAAGAAACAGAATAACAGCAAATTATACGAAGGCTGTTGATGCGATCGGATCTCTTCATTATGTATGTTAGATGCGTGTAACGTAATTAGTCGCATGGAATTTGATACTTGCATCGCAGTCGTCAAATTTGTTTTCCATACAGTATTTATTTCTACATTCGTTTTATTTTTAAGCAATAAAAACTACCTTCGCCTCTAGATATTTATTTGTAAGAAAAGAATACAAGAATATTGCAATTTCGTTTTACTCGGGACCCTCTTTATCCACTGTATTTGAAATGGATGTAATCGTAAACTGATAGATTAAGGGTTAAAATATCGAATATGCGCACAAGTTACATTCTAACGAGATTATAATTTATATGATGATGGTGATATTTAGTACGAAACGTCCAAAAACCGGTACTTTATAACTATAGCGCAGTACGGCTTCAAGCCGAAACGTGAAACCTCAATAACAACCTTGCTATATAATCGATTCTGGCGCATCGAGTTGCATCGAAGCACCATGAACGAAACGTAAACTCATGATGCAAGAAATTCCTTAAAAATATAAATACGTTAAATAAACGACGCGCAGAACGCAATAATTATAAATCGCTACAAAACCGCCGCTATAATTATATAAATTCCCGCAAGCGCACAAAATCTGAATCTTATGTCTACGTATGAAGCTACGTAGAATTTGCAGCAATTCTTCCAACTCAATATTTTTTATTCGATTAAATTGAAGAAATAAAATGTACGTTTTTAAAGGAAAATTTGAAATTTATTTAAACTCTTTTATTTTAGAATCAAAGACAAGTTAATGTAATGTATGACTATATAATCGAGTACAGTTATTGAAATTATGGACTATTCTGATTATAAACATAAAATAAATCTAAGCGTATAGTGTCAATCGAGTATTTTTTCCACATTTTTCATACCCCAGTTAAATTAGAACATGCTCCACATATTCATAGCTTGAGGCTAGCTGTAACCTCATCAATTCGTAACCCGTATTGTTAGGCAACCCAATATACTTCTTTGCAAAGAGATTGCTCGTCTACTTTATGAAACTCACGTTTTGTTTAATTTAATATTGAAAGTGGAATAATGAAATTAATAATATTTGTGGCTTGGTTAATAAAAATTTTAATTTTATTAAGAATTATATTTAAAAAATATTCAAACGACACACATAAATTATAAAAAGGGTAATTTGGTTACTTATGTTCTATTTAAATATTTCGATAAATTATAATGACAAAAACTTATTATTACAATAGTAATATTAATTAAGTATATTTTTTGTAAAATAATATTTAAATAATGACATCTTATAATTGTAATCCACAAGTATATTCAATAAGTAATAAAAATAAATAATTATATTATCTTCGCAAGGTTAAGATAAAATATATTAAGTATTACAATATATTAAAATATATTTATAAATACATGCAGGGACGTATACTATATAGTTCGTAAAATAAATGAATTACTTATATAATTTACGCATTATATATAAATGCGTAAAATAATGCTTAATCTTCAAATCTTTAAAATAAGCTAACATTACATTCTATAACATAACAATATTTCTTATTCTATCGTATATATATATATATATATTTGGCTCGCAATTGTTGCTTATAAAAAAGAAAGAAATTTGTAAAAGAAATAAAAAATATATTTAATTTTATAAAATAAATAAATAAATTATTTATATTAAATAGGCATAAGGTAACGCTTAATCTCAAAATTTTTAAAATAGGCTAACTTCATTTACATTCTACAACATAACAATATTTCTTATTCTATCGTATATATTTGGCTCGCTTTTGTCGCTTATATAAAGGAAAGAAGTTTTCTGTAAAATATCAGATCCAATGTTCCCCTGCGGCGTATTTACAGTACAATCGTCTTCACTTTCATCGACGATACTGTTTAACTCATGCGTCATATTGGATCTGATATGCATGGAATCTTCGGAAATGTTTTCTTGCATGGGACTCCTATAATTACGATCGTAAATCGACATTATTGACATGTTTTTTATGTAATCTACATCCACTTGTGGGTCTGCTATAATTTTCAAAGTCTCAAAGTTTATTGTAGCCTCCAACTTAGCGTGCATTTCTCGTTCCCCTTTCCAGCGTACATGTTTCTTAATTTCTTGATCCAATGGAATTAATTTTCTTTTTCTCAAGAGACGCTTAATTTTTATAAACGGTTTCGGTATTCTCTTCAATTTCCCCATTTTTCATATATTATATCAAGAGGTACTAATATTTTTTATCTGTTATCGTTTTACAATGTTTTCGTTTTCGTATGTTTTAGTATTCATTAAGATACGTATTGTTCTGAAAGAAGTAAAAATATTGCCTTCAATTATTAATTCATATGTAGCAGTAAATATACAACTTGATTATTGTATAATATATTACTTATTAGCAATTAAATATTTGTCTAAATTCAATTTTTGTTTCGCTTGTATTTAATAGCAAAATAATTGCGTTTATTTATATAACTATAACTATATCTGTATATTTCAAGTATATATTTCAAATGTTTAGTACACTATTTTAGTAGTTTGTAGATTTTGATTTAAAATTCGAGGTGAAACACGTCTTAAGATAAACGATTTTATTACTTTGACATGGAAAAATAACGAATAAAATGGCTACTTTATTCTATTCTATTTTATTTTATTATTTTCTTAGATTAAAATACGAATGACTGTGATAACATTTCGCCAACATAAACGTTATACAATGATATACGATTATTGCAATAAATACTATATTAGTGAGCTTTATATATACTACAATCTATATTGTTCTTTATATAATATAGTATATTATATACCCTATATATATATACTCTCTCTGTAGTATAAAGCTCACTGGATTATCGTTCTGCTATATATCGCCATCTAGTGATTGAAAGTATCATATTCTATATAAAGTACACCATCAGTACACAAAAGGTCTGTCTTTTCTTTAGCTAAAGTTTTTGTACGATTCATCTTTCTTCTTCCTCTTCACGTTGGAGAGGAAAAGAATAAAGATGAACCAAGTTCATCTTTACAAGTTCATAAAGATGCACGAAGTTCAGCTAAAAAGAACAGACCTAAAATCATATACGTACCCAATAAAATGTCTGTATTTGCTGATAATATATTTAAAATATCGAATATCGTTAATCTCCTTTCGATATTCAATGGTTTATTAATATTTAAACTGTTAAACAAACGTAATATTTTTCTTGGATTAATACTACAGCACAAAATTGCGCAGCACTTCCTAGTATCTGCTGTAGCCTCTGTGGCTGACTACTAACTGCTGGAAATAGCGTATTCTGCCATCTAGCTACACTTTGCTAACTATCATGCAAACAGAGAAATTTCTACAATATCGACATTGTGATATAGTTATAAAGTAATTAAAAATATATTTATTGTTAAACAAATTAGACATCAAATCAAATATCTGATATTATTCACTTTGAATAGAACAATATAAAGTCAAATGAATATTTGTAGAGGAAAAAAAAAATAAAAACAAACAAATTAATGTTAATTAGGAAAAATGAAAAGTATATTGAAATATGTAATCAAATTAGTCATATATTTTCGATGATTAAAAGTGTTTTTAGAAATCGACTATTATTTTTTCTATGATTGTATTTTCTTGATAAAATATAACATATAAAATATAAAATATATATAATATTTATAATATATAACATTATTAATATATCATTTAGTGGATTATATCTCCATTGAATAATTACATTAATAAATAGAAAAAGCACCCATGAATATATTTGTGAACTAAATTCCAAGGTTGGGTAAGTTAACTTTTTTTTTTAACTAAGTTAAGTTAAAGTTAACAACCTTGAAAACTTAACTTAGTTAAGATACAAGCTAATTTATAATGAAATTAATTGAATTAAAAGTTAAATTAATAAAAAAAAAAGTAATTGAAAGTTACAAGTTAAATTTGTTTTTTTTATTTCCAGGGTTTTAGTCTTACAAATAACGGAAATGACAAATATATAGCATTCATTTAGAAAATACTCTACATTCTATTTATATATTTTGTTTATATGTGTTACTGTTTATATAGACTGTTATATATATGTTTGAATATTTTGTTCACATATACTTATTAAATTTAAGTAATAAAGCCATTTCGAAATTTTTGTCGGACATCTTTTCTCGCAAGTTATCGAAAATGAATTTTCCTGCACTGAACAGCCGATCAATGTGAGCCCACATGAGCCGAAGATGGTATTGATGTGTTATATTTTAATAATAAGGAATAATAGATTTCAACCTATCAGAAACTAGATACATCAAAATATATGGTTTCTAATAAATTGAAATCTGGGGGTCGATTATGTAATTTGAAATGAGATGAAAATTACAAAAGTGCGCAAATTCATTAGAATATTTATGATTTCATTGGTCAACATCTAGTAAATTTACTTACTTTTGCAATTTTCATCTCATTTTAAGCTATCGCTATATATACTATTGCTGCCTATTATATCTGAGACTTAACTTCAAAAAATTAAATAAAAAATTAATAGTTACGGATAAAATGTGTAACTAAATAAAGTTAAAAAGTTAAGAGTCTAAATTGTAACTAAGTTAACTTAAAATTAATTATCTTTTTAACTTTTTAACTTAACTTTTATCTTTTTAACTTAGCACAATTCAACCCTGTTAAATTCCCAAGATAATAAATTCAAAAATGATAAAGAAATGATAAACAAGACGATTGGCACTGTAAATTGGTGCGCAGTTTTTTATTTTTTAAAAATATTTTACATTAAATCATAAGAGAAATACTTGTATATACATGGCTCGATTAATCTTTTAGTCTTCTTCAGCAAAAAACTCACATAAATATGTATTCACTAGATATCATAGTTATTTATATCGTATTCACATATGGAATTCATAACTTTTTCTTTATTCTACATACCCAGACAACACAAAGTATCCAAAAGAGAGACATAAGACGTTTTTGGCGTCTAAATGACGTCTTATGTCTTATCTGAGTATATACAAGTATGTATATAATACTATTTTAGGATTTTATATTTAGTTGTTATATGTAGTTATATGTTATATTATCTCTTATTTTAAAATAAAAAACTTTTCGAAATTTCCATAATTAATAAAAAATGATTGGCGGAAGAATGAAGTATGACTTTGTATATATATATATATATATATATATATATTAGGTGTTGAAGATACATTTTTCTTTGTATCTCTTAAAGCCACAAGAAATATGAAAAATATTGAAGTTATATGTCTCTTAAAGCAAAATAAAATATAAGATATTAATTGCTAGAGATAAGAAAAATAAAATGCTGTCATTATATCAAACATCACATGGAGAGAAAAAAAGAGGGAGAGAGAGAGAGAGAGAGAGAGAGAAGGAAGATTTCATAGAAATCATTAATCAAATAAAGTTAGATTTGTAGGTACATTGGTTGATTTAATTATTAAAGGAAAGCAAGAAACGTGACAATTGTAAACCAGTTTCAGTTATGTAGAACCTGAGATACGAACTTTACAACTACAATGTGACTTGGGTATTCATTTTAGATGACCGCAATTATACTTGGTTTCGCTTCCCAACAACGTGAAAGTTTAACAGATATCTAACAGACGTCCTAATCTTACAAATCATCTTTTACAGGCTCCTCATATGTTCTGTAGATTTTCTTCAGTCATTACTTTTTATTGTCAAACATTTTTTGTCAGTTAAATATTTTTAATTTAGTAAAATGAAAAAAAAAGATGTTAAAAAAAAAATAAATATAAAAATACAGAATCATAATTAAAATTATAATTTTTAATAAATAAGTAAATTTAAATTTGCAAACATACAAGAATGATTTCTATTCTTACTTGTAATAATTTGATTTGTAACGGAAGCATAATGGCAAAACAACGTTAAAAATCTAACTCAGCAACATGAAAAATAATTAACTCTTCAATAACTCAACATAACGGTCTGTGACAATTTATCATATAGAATTCTTCAAATACCCACAAAATAATAAGTAATTATAATTAATAAAGTGTATTTTTAAAACTTTAATAAGTACATTTCAATTAATCTTTCACATGCAATATTACGCATCAATTATATAATCTTCGATAAATATTCCTCAAGTAATAAAAATCGTGAAGAACGTCAATGATTAGGCCAAAGACATAAAGTACTTAAGAATAGCTCATTTGTAAATTTAGTTTATATATCGCGATGAATTAATCCTTCTCGAAAACGTTGAATAAGACACAACCGCAGGTAGCGTTTCCGCGCTTCAGCATCGGGTGGAAAGAATCTGCGCACGTGCACCGAGCACGACCGACCTGACCTGACTGAAGCAAAGGGATGATCAATAACTTCCAGGATATATAAGGCTCCGTTCCGGTAGAGCGTGTGCACCTCTTGAGTTCACGTGATCGGTTTATCGCGTACCACACGGACCCCTAGTCTCGATCGCGTTATAGTCGGCGACTGCGTTTCAAATTGGTCTGTATATACGTCAGATAGCATCGCAGAGGTATTACATCTATTGGGTATAAGTGCTTAGCGTATATATAAGATACACCGATATTACATTACGAGTTTATCGGTCGTAGTAATGTAAGGTTTTCCATTTGTTCCGCTATATATGAACGATCCCGGTAAGCGTAAAAATCGAGCGTGCACGATGCGTGATGTACGACGGTATCTACTCCGGAGTGAGCGTTTTCGGTAACAGTGTTTCAGTATGTAGAAAAAAAAAAAAAACCAGACGTTAAGCTTTCCGACAAAATTACATTTCGACGGATCATTAACGTCGAAAGGTATGTGCACGCACGATTTCCGCCAACATGGCATCACGTTTTTTTGTCAGAAATACGGTAAATATCACTAATCCTCTTCTTCTACATCGCGATACGGACAGCGATATAAATTCAACTTTATTTCCAACGTGCACATACAATTAAAAGGCCGAGGTCTTGTAATTTTGAGATTTCTTTTTTTTTTTTCTAAGTACATAATATCTTGTAAAATTTTAAAATACTTTTATTCGATTGTGTCGGGCAATTTTGATGTAATGAAGATATTTTTGAGTCATATATAATTGTGACACTTAAATAATTAGCGTTCGCACAAGAGAAGTGTAACACAGGCCAGAGGCCTAACGCAAGAGGAAGAAGATTTTTGATTCAATGTAATAATTCATAAGATTCGATCTATTACATAATGAGAACAATGTTAAATTTTCCACGAAAAAGATACACGTCTACCGATACCGTTCATGAAACGTTTAAAGAGGTTGTAAAGGCATAAAGCACATATATTAATATTTACGCTTTGAACAAACTACATACATGTGAAAGTTGTGCTCATAACATTCTGTTTTTATTTGAGCAACACATTTTTTAAGTAATAATAAAAATCTAAATCTTTCTATATAAATATTTCAAGTATTAAATATTTTTGAATTCGTTAAATGCTTATATAAAAAAATTGAAATTTTTATTATTACACATTTTAGACTATTTATTTTATTTGACATTAGTTTTATTGTTATACAACAAACATTTTTTAAGTAATAATGACAAATCTAAATCTTTCTATATAAATATTTCAAGTATTAAATATTTTTGAATTCGTTAAGTACTTATATAAAAAAAATTGAGATTTTTATCATTATTTCATAATACATTTTCATATATTTCTATTAGAGTACAAAAAAAATATTATATTTCTATCGAAACAACTTTCGATCGACTGTCTCTAATTTTTTTGTACCACTTTACAATGCAATTTAAAATAATCCGTAATTGCTTTAAGTAACTCCTAACATATATTGCATCTGCCTTACAACCTCCTTAAATACGGAAGCGACGTAAAAAAAAGATATATTAGGAATATGAACGTTCTTACGAGGCTTTGCACATATCCACGAATAATCGTATATGAACGAACAAAATGAAATACTTAAATTGAATAGAACAACACGTAATTCTTCCGTTTTCACGTTGATAACGAATATGATTATTTTCCACACGTTCGCAGAACGTGTGGCATGGTGTAGGCCTCCTGGGGATTCCCGCCATGTAAAAAAACGGGAACGCGTCCGGGCACGGTACCCCCTGGGTGACGAGGAAAGCCGTGCCACTTTACGTTTCTGTTAATTATCGGGATTCATTCATAAGCAAATCGGCGGTTTATTCTTTCCCCGTCGCAATTTCTCAGCCAACTTATGCACGGCGAGTAAGTACCGCGAGAAAGTTAGCGGGC